CTCACTAAGGGCACAAGTGGAGGTGTCCACGAGTGGGGTCCTCATTGCTAGATTCGAGGTTAGGCCTACATTGCTGAGTGAGATCAGTAGATGTCAGGCCACTGATGAAGAATGTCAGAAGATCCGTGAACGGATCCTTGAGGGACCTGTTGAGAACTTTCGGGTACGTGATGACGGTCTTTTATTGTTTAAAGGCCGTGTATGCATACCAAGGAATGGGGAGCTCCAAAAGTCTATACTGGAGGAGGCTCATTCTTCGGCGTATGCCATGCATCCAGGAGGTACTAAAATGTACCGAGACTTGAAAGAAAGTTACTGGTGGTCGGGTATGAAGAGGGACATCGCAGAGTACGTGAGTCGGTGTCTTACTTGCCAACAAGTCAAGGCGGAACATCAGCACCCGGCGGGACTTTTGCAACCACTTACCATTCCAGAATGGAAGTGGGAGCACGTGACCATGTACTTCGTGGTGGGGCTACCACGAACAGTGAACAACTATGATGCAGTATGGGTAGTGGTTGATAGGCTCACCAAGAGTGCACACTTTTTGCCTATCAACATTACTTATCCTCTTGAAAGATTGGCTAAGCTATACACGGAGGAGATTGTGAGACTACATGGAGTTCCAATATCCATTGTCTCGGATAGGGACCCACGTTTCACATCCCGATTTTGGCCAAAATTTCAAGCATCTTTGGGTACGAAGCTAAAGTTTAGCACAACCTTTCACCCACAGACGGATGGGCAATCCGAGAGGGTGATACAGATTCTGGAAGATATGCTTAGGGCATGTGCTCTGGAGTTCCAAGGGAGTTGGGACAAGCATTTGACTCCGGTCGAGTTCGCCTATAACAACAGTTATCAGGCGAGTATTGGCATGCCTCCGTACGAGGCATTGTATGGGAGGAAATGTAGAACACCGTTGTGTTGGGAAGAGGTTGGTGAAGCCAAGCTCGAGGGGATTGAACTTGTCGAAATCACCAAGGCTAAGGTGAAAGTCATTCAGGATAGACTCAAGGCTGCCCAAGATCGGCAAAAGAGTTATGCTGACAAACGACACAGGCCATTGGAGTTTGAGGTCGGTGATAAGGTCTTTCTAAGGATTTCTCCTTGGAAAGGTATCATCAGATTTATATCGAGGGGAAAGCTTAACCCCCGATACATTGGCCCATTTGAAATCCTTGAAAGGATAGGGGTCGTGGCTTACCGTATCAAATTGACGCCAGAACTTGAGAAGATACACAACGTGTTCCATGTATCGATGCTCAAGAAATACGTGCGAGATCCGTCTCATATCCTTGAGAAACCACCGGTAGAGATACGTGAAGACCTACAATATGCGGTGGAACCGGTGAAGATTGTGGGTCAACAGGTAAAGAAACTGAGAAACAAGGAGATTCCTATGGTAAAGGTCCTTTGGAGGAGTGATCGAGTCGAAGAAGAAACCTGGGAGACTGAGGTCTCAATGAGGGAGATTCCTATGGTAAAGGTCCTTTTCGATTAGACACGCGGATTTCGGGGACGAAATCCCAAATAAGGGGGGGTGAACTTGTAACACCGTCCCCAAATGTATTTATCTTTAAGCGAATAATTTATTGAACCCTATGAAATTTTTAGTGAATTTACGAAGTTGTGAATTTGTATTAAATTTTTTCGCGTGAATAGTAAAATGCACGTGGGGCCCACATCGGGAGTGGGGACCGCCCCATATTATCGGGACCACATATTATATTCATCTGGGTCTAGAAAATATTTATAGATGGTGGATACTTCATTTGGGCCATGGAAAGGCCCAGAGTTGACCGATTGGTCAATAGAGGCCCAAATACCGGTATCGATAAATTTATCAGATAAAAGCCCGGAATTGGATTTTGGAGACTTATAAATTAAAGTTGGGGAATGCATATTCATTCTAAATGGTATAATGATTAAGAACACGTAATATATTTATTTAACCCGATAAAATAAAATATATCTAAAACAGTCCGGAAAATACAACTTTCGGGGCAAATTGTACACTTTGGGACAAATTAGGATGACCTCCCACATAGGTGGGGGCCACCCCACGAATTTGTCAACCCTTGGGGGCTGGATGAGTGCTAAGTTGGCTGAATAATAATTGATAGGATGGGGGAGACACCCTTTGACATTTAGTAGACCCCATCCCTTCACTCCTTGTCTAAATGAAACAAAAACCACCCCTCTCACCTCACCACCTCCACCCACACGTAGCAGCACCCAAGGATAGCAAGGAGGAGCTCTGAAATTCATCATTTTCACACCCAAATTCGAGCTCAAGATAGAGGATCCAAAGAGGAGTGTTTGGAGAAGGAAAAAGGGTGTAGGAAAGTGTGGAAATTGAGGTAATCACCTTGCCATAGCTTTCCCTTTATTTTTATTCTACCATGAGGAATATTTATTATATGAAGAACCCTTGGGATGGTTCTCCATGTTCTAAGTATGGATTTATGGGTTGGAAAGTGGTTCTATGTCCAAGAACGGACTTAGAAGCCAAATCGACCGGTTTGCCGGAAAATAACCTTTTATAGGTTATTTGTGTTGATATGGGTTTTGTGATGATAAAACCTTGTTAGGAACTTGATTTAAAGTATTTTTGAGCTTCTCCGGAGTTTCGTCGGAGTTGGTCAAAGTTCACCGGAGTTGGTCAAAGTTCGCCGGAGTTGGTCAAAGTTCGCCGAAATTAGTCAAAGTTCAATCGAGAAGCGTAGAACGCGCTTAAGCTTAATTAAGGTGAGGATGACCGACTATGTTCCTTATAATCTTTGGGTTAATTTCATGGGATTTCCTAAGTGAATACAAATGTGATGTGCATGGGTTGTTAATGGTTAATAATGCCTAAATAAAACTACTATTGATTACAAGTATAGTATGCATGATATACAAATTTATGAATAAATTGGGTATGTTTAGATGTTATGAATATGAGTGTATGATGGTTGTATCAACCATGAATTTCATTTGGGATAGTATACTTTGATACCATGAGGAGAAGCCATGAAAGTATGAAAGTGATACTTGATATTAAGGCCAATCATGCCTGAAGGAAGAATTATATTGAAATAAATAAATAACTAGCATTGAAATATTAGTTGGAAATGTTAGTTGAGAAATGGATGAATTAGATCCTAAGAATTTGAATTATAAAGAATCGGTGATTATGAGCCGGGCTCGAGACCGATGTAGATAACGGTGATTATGGGCTGAGCTCTAGACCGTAGTAGATGACGGTGATTATGAGCTGGGCTCTAGACCGTGGTAGATGACGGTGATTATGAGCGGGGCTCTAGACCGTAGTAGATAACGGTGATTATGAGCTGGGCTCTAGACCGTAGTAAATAATGATGAATTGATACTAAATGAACGGATTAACTATAATGTAATAATGCTCTAGATTGAGGGCCTCAGAGATTTAAACTTCGATTATACTTAGTATAGTTGTCATTGTACTTGTCAAATGTTTCCAAGTACTGACCTCCCCTTCACGGGGGAGGCCACCTCACAGTTTCAGGTAGAACTTGAAGGTTGCTACTACCAACCGCTGTTTCGGGAAGTTTCTGAGAAGAAGACTTGGTTCGTGCTTCTTCCGTTCTTGTTTTGAAAACAATATGAATAATGCTCATGGATATTATTTTCTGAATATACATTTCGGGGGTTTGTATACCCATGTTAGCCAAGTGTGGCTTGAACACTTGTAATGTTGTTTCCGCTGTTTTAAATGAATGATTTACATTATGTTTGTTTATGGATGTACTATGTGTGAATGATATTCATGACGCCTTGTATAGTATGGATGAGTTGGACTGCGGTTGGCTATTCGTACTGTACGGCGGGTTGTTGACGTGTCCGGCTAGGTCCGGGGCGTGACAAAGCAGCTCCAAGATGCGCAGGAGGCCTTTCGCCTGGAGAGGGAGGCTTTCGACAAAATCCTTGAAAAAAGCAAGGTCGTGGCTAGAGCTGAGAGTAGAGCTAAGGCTGAGAAGGTTGCAGCTGAGGCCGCCGGGGCAGCTGCTGAGAGGGCTGAGGAAGCCAAGAAGGAGGCGGTCGCCCAAGCTGAGAAGGTCGCTATGGCTGCTTTTGTGGCCGAGGGCTGGAAGACCGAGGAGCATCAGCAGTGGGTGGCCTCGGTGGTGGAGGCCTTGGTAGATAACTGAGTGAAGGGCCCCGGGGCCATGTGGCTAGCCCGTAAGGGCAAGGAGTACTTTGATGGGGGTGAGTTTTTTACTCAAGCCCTCATATACCGAAGGCTAGCCCGACACATGGGGGTGGATCCGAAGGCATTCGACCCGGCAGCTCATGGTCTTCCTCCCCTCCAACCTGACCCCAGAACTCCCCTCCCCGTGGGTGCTACAAGGCCCGATCTAGAAGATACTGTGTTGATGCAGTAAGCCAGCGATGAGGAAGAAGGAGCCGAAGGGGATGCTACTTTGAAGCCTGCCGAAGAGGTGGTTGCTGAAGCTGTAGTTTGATTTGTACCTGGATAATCTTCTGAGTAATGTTATGTATATAGATTTTGCAGCTTTCAGCTGATGTAACAAACACTTAGTACTTTCCTCCTTTTGTCTAATGCATGCCTGCCTTCGGGCTTTTGATGTCTGATTTTCCGCTGCCTTCCGTAATGAATGAATACTTTCGTTTTTCTTTATGCCTTCTTTCCATAGTTGCATGTTTATTTGTATGGCGAGTTGACCGGGGGCCAATCAATTAGGACTTAAAAAAATTTTCTGAGTATTGTTTAGTACTGGGCCTTCGGTCGATGCTTCTACTAGTAGAAAACAGGCTTATAATGACACTTTGTTAGTGACACATTTTAATAAAGTGTCACGAAAATACGACATATTTTTTTTTACGATGTATAAGTGTCATTAGTTTCTGACACAATAGTATCAATATCAGATAGTGACGTTCACACCTTATTTTATTTTATTTTAACATTATTTTGTCATATTTTAACACCTAAAATTTCTTTTTTTTGCTCCGGTCTCTTAATCAACTTTAACATCTATCACTCTTTCTCTCTTCATTCACTGCAGAGAGTTTTCATGAGCTATTCTCGTCCTATCACTCCTAGCAGAGTCTTCATAAGCTATTCTCGTCCTCCCCTTCGGCTAATAAGAAACTGGCGACACGGTGTTGGCGGACGCCTGTGAAGATGCCTGAAAAGGATGAGAGAAGGCAGAGCTCTGGAACGGTGTTGACGGACGCGTGAAGCGAATGGGCTTCGTCGATCTTTGGCCGGGCGGCCACCATCTTCTTTATCACTACTACATCTTCGATTTCAAGAGCGGAAACACTATTAACATCCTTCAATTCATACATGAAGACCAAATCCTCCTTCGATTCAGTCATACCCCAGCTTATTCCTCGCAACCTGGCCCTATCCACGTCAGATCGTAGATCTATATCGGGTCTTCAAGAAATCCATAGCGCTAGGGTTACGACACATTGTCTAGCTCGTGCGACAAGAGGGGTGCTAGAGTTACGGCACATCGGCTAGCTCGCGCGACAAGAGAAGGTATTTTTTAGGTTTGTGTATTTGTTGGGTTAATTTATTTCTCTAAGTTTGATATAGAACATGGAATAGTTATTTCTTAGTGTTTAGTTTGTTAATGTCTATCAAGTGTTTGTAAAAATGCCTCAACAAAAAATGAAATTGAGCAAGCAATAATGTGGCTTAATGAAATACAATGTTTTCATGTAAATACATTTAATATGATATACTAAACTAGGCACCTAGTCATTGATATGAAAGCATGTTTAGAAAACATTATAACTTATGGTAACATGTGAAGTCTATTACTGTTTTGTCTGATTTTCACTCTTCTCATTTGCAAGCATTGCTCTGAAAGTGCCAAATATGAGAAGTTATGTTGGTTCTTTGTATCTTCCATGTCTATTTTGGAAACTTTGATAATTGCAGGCACGTGTGACTAGTGGTTGTGATAGAATTGCTAGAAATTATCTATACATGGGAAGCTAGTCTACTTTATTTTTGAGTTTTTTTTGTGTTTGTAAGAATGCTTATTATATAATGAAATACTCTGCAGTTTAACTTTTTTGTTTGTAAATTCATTTAGGGCTATCATCTCAAGGCTATTCTATAAAAGGTGCAAGTTAACTCGAATTCAAACTGTTAAAACTTTGATTTTAAAGCTAAAATTGTTATTGTAGTTGAAGTTTATGGTAAAAGTAGATATCAAAAATATTTTTTTTGTATAAAACATAAATTTGGATTTAGTTTTAATGAAGAATAGATAAAAGTAATATTTTCTAAAGAGCTTTCAAACTTTGATTCTTTTGTCAAGCACACTTTATAATTTAATTGTAGTTCAAAATAAGTTAAAACTAAAAAATAAGTTCTACTATTAGCTAAGTTGTTAGTTATTAGTTATTACTACACAAAAAAGTACAATTCCACTTACTTTTGATAAAGGGAATTGCTCTCCAAAAAAATGTTCTGTTTTTGAAAAATTCATAAACTTTTGTGCTATGATGTTCTTGTTGAGTGATATTCAAGATAAATTCTATTCTTTTGTTCAAAAATTGCAGGTGAGTATTTGGCCAATATAATAGAGGATCATGAACAACGCAGAGACTATTTTATCACTTTATTATTGGATTGGATGCCAATGAGACGGGTAGCTTGTAGAGGTTCATTCTCTATGCACTATTTTATGCACAGTTTAACTTGAAAAAACATGATATTATGATAGATGACTCTTGTCTATCTTATCCTCTCTCTTTTCCTTTTATCGTTTATCTTCATTATCTTTTTATGTTCGTATGATATATTTATCTTCTATCTTTCTTATGCTCTTTTATCTTTTTATATTGTATCTTTCTTATATTATTATGTTATTGTTATTTTATATATATCTGTATCATATCCATTTTATCTTATCCCTATTTTTAATCTTTCCTACCTTTTTCGCACCGATTTCATGGATTGATTAATGTTAGGCGACCCCAAATTCTTTTGGAATTAAGGCTTGGATGTTGTTGTTGTTGTACTCAATATAATGATAAAATAGCTGTCTAGTAAACCAATCCAACAGTTGTGTCTATCATAAGTTGTTTGTTGGATTTTTTTTTGTATGAAACTATGACATGTATTGAACAAAGCTGGGTGGAGAAAGAGATTTGTGATTAGTATTTCTAACCTCAATATTAAAAAATGGGTCTACATATACTCCATCTATGATTAGTTTTTGAAATTTTTGTTTCATTTAGTATAAATATGAATTCTACTGCTGCAGGGATTCTCGTTAATTCTGCAAGCATCCAAGCAGATGCTTCTTTTGCTACTGGGAATACTGCCCAAATTTCTGCAAAGCTACCTGATATGATGAAAGGAGTGGATGTACACCTTAACGCTGGGAACAAAACTCCTGGACCCATGACTGTAAAGACTGCTTTGCAGCTGGGACCTGTTTTGCTTACTATTGCGGATACTGCTAAGGAGATAACAACTAATTTGACACCTAAACCTGCTAAGGTTACTGGGAAAACCCCAATTGGGCAGACTGCCCCAAGCAAGGTGGCCGCTACTGATAGAGGAGGTTCTTCTCCTCTCATGCCAATGCAGGTAACTACTCCAAATGAATCTTCTGTGAACCATTCAGTACTGATTAAAAAGGGCCAACAAATAGATGCTCAAATGGTTGGTAACTACTCCAAAGGAAAACTCAAACTGGTGTTTGGTAAACCCTTTCTCTGAAAAGTACCGGTAATTTCTTCTCTGTTTGCCTGTTCTACATATTTGTAATGATATAAAATTATGAAGATGTGATTTTTTTTCTCGACTATTCTAATAGTTAGAAGACATACTCATTTAATGAGTGGTGATTTCTTCTACAGTACCAGAAGGAAAGCAGGATGAAAAGACCGATTTTGACTTTCAGATTGGCTTTGTATTTTCACAGGTTGGATGAGTATCAGTTGATGAAATAATAATTTACTAGGCAGTTTTCTATCTCTATGCGTACGAAAAGCAGCTTTAAGGAGTTATTCAGGTGAATATCCATAAGGCTTCGTAATCGTTATCTTTATTAGTATCATCATCAATCTAAATTTGTATATCAACATATGTGATTTCTTATGTTTTCATGAACAAAGGATTGCATATTTACATTGTATTTATATATGTTAAAGCTGCTTTTAGTTGATTTTTTGTAGAATAAACAAGAAAAATGGATAATGCCCTTTGCTATTGAAAGTACACATTAATGGACTAAAATGTAAATTACAACTAACTATAATAGTATAATGTATAGTTGACCAAACTGATTGCCTCTTTTCTTTTATTTAAATGACATGTACCTGCCCTTTTGTACATATTCTGTACCTCAGATACTTACTTCTTAAGGTTTGCATTCTCTCAAGAGTTTGGCATGTGAGTTTACCATGATTTCAAACATTTAGAATGAGTGAATGGTATAGAGGATTTGAATTCAACCCGAAATGCTTTTGTTACTGTAGTTTTTTACTTTTCATGGTCTTTTTATTTTTCATGGACATATCAAATTCTTTTTTGATATCTCTCTCATGCATCGTAATTTTTTTACTAAATTCTCTATTATCGAAGGTGATAAGTGATCTTTTTTAATACTTCTCCAATCATGCATTTTGTTATTGTTATCATAGGTGACAAGTTGATGTGAATGGGAAAAGGAAGCACGTGTTGTTGATTACTTCCATAAGAATGCCGTTGTCAGGGCTTGACACTTAAAGATTGTTTTATGTCCTATAATTGTAACTTGTGTTTTGTTTTTTGAGTTGTACTTAATTACATTGATGATTTCCGGGGTATGCCCCTATGAATCATGTACATTCATATGAAATCTTGAGATATAAATAAAATGTTTGAGATTTTGGTTAATGTGAATGTTTTGGTTTATTTGTATTAATATATATATACTAATATATATATATACACACACACACACTAATGAATCATGTACATTGTATTAAAAACTTTTAGTGACACTAATTTGGTGTCACTGTAAGACATTTTTCAAGTAGTGTATGTATATATCACTAAAAAGCATGATACATTGGTATCACAAAAATCCTTGTTACGCATATATCACAGATCTCTATGATGTTTATATGTCATAATTTTGTGACACCAAAGTGACTTGTTAACGGTGACACAAAATTTAGCGTCACTAGCCCCACTTTTCTGTGACACTTTCAGAGTGTCACTAAATCGTTTAATGACACTAATCAAATGTCACTATAAGCCATTTTTTTACTAGTGTTCCTTCTTTGTCTTGTGTAGGTTGTCATGTTTTGACCGAGGGCCGAATAAATTTAGGACTTGGAAAATTTTCTAAGTAACATTCACTGCTGGGCCTCCGGCTGATGGCTCCCTTTTTTGTCTCGTGTAGCTTGTCATGTTTTTACCGAGGGTCAAAGATTTAGGACTTAGAAATTTTTCCAAGTGTTGATTACAACTTGGCCTTTGTGGATCGTTGCGCTTACCGCTACACTAAAAGCAATCACTGATAGTGTAGCACGCTCCTCCCCCTTTATAGCACAAGCGAAGCGCCACGCGGTTCGATTGCACTGGCAGACTGGCAGATTGCTGGCACCGCATACCCGCGGCCCAACAGCCTTCGGTTGACGTCTTCCTTCGTGCGTTCTGTGTTGTGTGAGTTGTAAGCCCTCATTCGTTAGTGGTCGGGGACCAATAGTTTAGGACTTAGAAAATTTCCCAAGTAATGTCCATTGCTAAGCCCTCGGCTGATGTCTCTATTTAGTCCCTACGTATTCCCCGATCTGACCGAGGGCCTAAGTTTTAGGACTTAGACATCTTTCAAGTAGTTTTACCAAGTGATGTGCATCATGTGGCCTTCGGATATTAGCCCCCCTTGGATTGCATGATAATTTGTCAGAGGTCCAAGTATTTAGGAATTAGAAATTTTTTCTAAGTGTTGATGTCACTTGGCCTCCGGTAATGTGTAGTAGATGCCTTCGCTCCTTGGGTAGCATATGAGCCTTCGGTTTTGGTAGATCCCAAAGTGTGGACTTAGGAATTTTGTAGTCCAACCATAGAATGATAAAGACAGGTGCCCTAAGGCGACGTTTTGGAGTATTCCCTCGGTGTTGCCTTGAAATGTCGGGGCAATTGTTGCTTGGACTTAGGAATTTTAACCCTTGTGTGGGTTTGGAGCCTTCAATGTCAGTTGATGCCGGGGGCAACCAGATTGTGGACTTAGCCACATTTTGGTAACATTTGTTGAATAGTGGCCTTCGGGATGAGGGCCATTGCCAAGGGTGGCTCCTTGAATTCGTAGCTCTCGGATACCGGTGGTGTTCCCATGGGAGCCCTCGGTATGTTCTTCTTGCTGGTTGCCGAAAGGTGCACATTTTTGGAGTATGTACTCATTGATTGCTCTTTGAGTCTACTCCTCTTCACCCGTTTTTTTTTTGGGGGGGGGGGGGGGGGGGGGGAGATGGTGAAGAGAAGGCTTCAAGAAACTTGGTTTCTTGGTAAGGCTTGGCCTATTGGGAGGCAACAATATACACCATTGGCTCCCCCCTTGGGGTTAACCTTCCGGGTTCCTAGGGGATCAAGGGTCGTTTCCTCGGCACGAGACATAGTCCGTTGCCTGCCTCCCAATGGGGGATGGCACGGAAAGCGCCTCAGTTTTTGAAAGTCGTCCCCTCAGCACAAAACATAGTCTGTTGCCTGCATTCCCTTGGGGTAATGGCGCGGGGAGCGTTTCGTTTTTGAAAGTCGAATCCTGAGGCATATTAGTTGCCTGCCATTCCCTTGAGGTAATGGTGCGGAAAGCGTTTCAGGAAGGGTTTATTTGCATATTAGTTGCAAAAGGGGCCGGGGTATTTGGTACCTCCGGCGCCGATAGGTGGGACCTTCGACATAAATGCGTCCTCGAAGGGTACGGCTTCAAAAATGACACTTGGTGTTTTATTTTTGTACACGCCCTCGGTACTTGGTACCGAGGGGCCTTTGTTACAAAACACTTGGTGTTTCCTGCATTGTCGAGGGTGATGGAGTGTCTACCCCCGGTACTTGGTGCCGAAGGGTCTTGATTGTAATAAGGCCTTGGGCCAGGTGCTTGTATGAGGGCTTGGCCGCTCATAAGTGCTCTGTTCTTCGTGCTTGGTGTCTTCAACATGTCTTCATTCTTCAAAATTGGAGGCCTTGGGTCGTAGGATAATACATTCATTTGTTATGAGGGCTTGGCGCTCAACATTACTGATAAAATTTAACTAGATGGTGTACATTCCAATGTCGGGGGACCTCAGTCCCATTGGAGCGTTTGAGCTTGTAAGTTCCCGGTTTAATGACGGCTGCAATGATGTATGGACCCTCAAATTTGGGTGCGATCTTACTGCCTTCGGTTGGTTGACTAACCTCCCTTCTTCGGAGGACGTAGTCCCCCACATGGAATTCTCGGGAACGGACCTTCGTGTCGATGTAGCCTTTGACTTCGCACCTATAGTTTTCAGCTTTGATGAAGGCTTGCTCTCTGCGTTCCGATATGAGGTGAAGGTCAAGGGCCATGTTGGCGTCGTTGACCTCAGGGTCATATTGATCTACCCTTCGGGTAGGTAGAGTTACCTCCGTAGGGGCCTTTGCCTCAAATCCGTAACAGAGGGAGAAGAGTGTTTCGCCTGTTGCTCGCCTAGGGGTAGTGCGGTAGGCTCATAGGATGTTGTGAAGTTCTTCTACCCAGCCTCCCCCTTCGGCCTCGAGCTTCTTCTTCAGGCCCTCAAGCAAAGTTCGGTTGGCGTTCTCCACTTGACCGTTGCCCTGAGGGTAGGCGACGGATGAGAAGGTATGCTTGATGTCCCATGCCTCCAGGAAGGCACAGAAGGGGACTGCCTCAAATTGAGTCCCGTTGTCAGAGATGATTTGTTGAGGGACACCAAACCTTGTGAGGATGTTCTTGAGGACAAAGTGGCAGCATCTAGCTTCGGTGATGCTGGCAAGGGGCTCAGCCTCCACCCACTTGGTGAAGTAGTCGATGGCAACGATGATATACCTTTTATTGGAGGTACCCCTCGACAGAGGGCCCACAAGGTCTATGCCCCACCTAGAGAAGGGTATAGCAGTGCCGATGGGGGCATAGTTGACTTCTGGCCTGCCGGGGGGGCTTCTGAAAGTGCTGACAAGCGATGCACCTTCGAGCAAGATTTGCACAATCACGGGCCATGGTGGGCGAGAAGTAACCTTGGACTATGAGCCTTCGGGACATAGAGAAGGGTCCCTAACGAGCTCAGCAAGTGCCACTGTGCACTTCCTCCATTGTAACCTCGACTTCATCCTGATGAAGGCACCAAAGGAGGGTACCGTTGTAAGATCTTTTGTAAAGCCTTCCATTCTCGAGGGTGTAGATGGGAGCGCTCAGTTTTGCTAGTTTGGCATGGGCTTCATACTCAGAAAGTTGCCTTGTGGTGATGAAGGTAGTGATGTCGGAGATCCAGTCCTTCGGCCTGAGATGTATATCCATGATGGGGCTCGCATGTATGCTCGAGAGGCTGAGCTCCTCGATTCTTGCAATCTTGGAGAGGTGTTCCGGGGACTGGGCCGAAAGCTTTGATAAAATATCAGCCTCAGAGTTTTGAGCCCTCGGTATTTGGGTGAGAGAGTGTGCCTCAAATACCTTAAGCAACTCCTTGGCCGATTCCTTGTATTTGCTTCATTCTTCCTTCCTTGGCCTTATACTCCCCTGAAATTTGGCCCACGACAAGCTTGGAGTCACACTTGACGTGGATCATTCTGGCCTTCATATTTTCTGCCAGCCAAAGGCCACAGAGGAGGGCCTCATATTCGGCTTCGTTGTTGGACACTTTGAAGGAGAAGCGGATGACATAATAGCCTCGGAAGCCTTCGGGAGTAATGAGAACTACCCCTCCCCTGCATGCTTTGGTGGCTGAGGAGCCATCGGTATAGAGGGTCCACCATTCATCCGAGGGTGCCGAGGGCTCCTCCCCCACCGCTGATCTTGGCGTGCATTCCATCACGAAGTCTGCCACGGCTTGGCCCTTTATGGCGGGCCTCCGACGGATGTCAATGTTGTACTGGATGAGGAAGATAGCCCATTTTACCATTCTGGAGGAGCTGGTGGGGCTCCTCATGAGGGCGCCGAGGGGTTGATGTGTGAGCACTTGGACCGGATGAGCTTGAAAGTAGTGGCCAAGCTTCTTGATAGTCCAAACAATGGCTAGGACCGTTTTTTCCACGGGGGAATACCTGAGTTATGCCTCCCTGAGGGTCTTGCTAACGTAGAAGATGGCATGTTGGACGCCATCTTCCTCCCGGATGAGTACTGAGCTAATGGCTGCGGGGCTGATGCCAAGGTATAGATATAAGGTCTCTCCTACCTTGGGCTTGGAGAGCACAGGAGGAGAAGAGAGGTACTTTTTGAGCTCGTCGAATGCCTTTGACACTCAGTTGTCCATTGGAAGCCTGCTGTCTTCCTCATGAATTGGAAAAGGGTAGGGCCTTCTCTGCGGATTTGGAGAGAAAACGGTTGAGGGCCGCCAGGCGACCTGTCAATCTCTGAACCTCCTTCACGTTGCGTGGGGGCTCCATGTTGATGATGGCTTGAATTTTTTCAGGGTTGGCCTCAATACCCCTTCGGCTAACCATGTAGCCGAGAAACTTCCCTCCTTGCACACCGAAGGTACACTTCTTTGGATTCAACCGAAGGTTGAATTTTTGCATGATGGCGAATTTCTCCCGGAGGTCCTCGTCGTGGGTGTTTGATTTCTTGCTCTTGACGATCATATCGTCAACATAGGCCTCCATGGTGCATCCTAAGACTGCTTGAAAGACCCTGGCCACCATGCGGGTGTAGGTGGCGCCTGAATTCTTGAGGCCGAAGGCCATCACAAGATAGCAAAAG